TATAAAGTTAAAAAACTGTGAAACATGACTGGTACAACCCTTGATGTATTAGGCATCTAATTAACTGAAAAAATTAATCTATTTTGCTTAATATTAAATAAATATATTCTACACTATGCATATACATATCATCATACTATTTCTATTTATTTAAGAAATAAATTTTTGTACTTATGTAATAGTAAATATTATCGATATTTTTATATGATATAAGTAAAAAAAATCCAACACGGGTTGATATTTTCATTTAATGTACAGGTTTTAAATAATTATGATTAAAAAAATATAATTTGACAATTTAATTAAAACCCAAAGTAATGTTTTATATAAAATTACATTATTTTAGTTTTTTTTTTTTTAAAAAATTATCATTTTTTACAAAACCTTTTTAATTCAACACCCGTGTAATACACGGGTATTGTACTAGTGTCATTTTATTTATATAAATATAAGATATCGATTCATCTAAAGATATCGATTCAACTTCTTTTAAATACATATCCTGGATTTAAGTGGATTTGAAGCAAGAGAAAAAAAGATTAAGATGAAACTAAGGATGGCAGCGGTTCGGTTTCGGTTCGGATATCCGCGGTTTTTGGTTCTGCGGTTTTTGGTTTTGGTTCCAAATTTCACCCACGGTTTTGCGGTTTCGGGTACCCGAAAGTCTTCGGTTTTGGTGCGGATCCTATATTTCGCCCGTGGTGCTCCGTTGGGTGCCCAAAATAGACGGCCCATCAAAAAGCCCACCAATAACCCTAGCTATATAAGTGGAAATTTCCTCTGCCTTTGAATGAAATGACCCTTATTGATATTCTTTTGAACTGCTTTTAGAGTATAACGCGTGTACGATCTGCATCCAAAATCTCACAAAAACTCCAAAATCTTTTTCGTATCTTTGACAAAAAATCAGATCTCTCTTCTTCATCTCTCTGTATCATCCTCCTGCCAGATCAAAATTTTGCACAAATTTGCTCCGTCTTCCGAGCTTAAAGACGAAAGGAGCAGAGGCGACGTAGGCGGATATAACGGCGTTGTCGGCGTGCGGAGGCAGCATCTGGGTCGCACGCAGCGAACAACGACGGAGGGTCTGACCACTGTCAACAGACTCACACTCCCCAATCCCCATCCTCAGCTTCTTCCGCCTCAGCGCCGCCAGGGGAGTCCTCTACAGAGTGAGGGACTTAACACAACTATTTCAAATTAATATGTTTTTTCATAACCTATCGCCACCTACCGGCGACCGCCATGGCTTCCTTCTCCATTGAAATTTGTTTGGTTTTTTTTCTTTTTTTTTTTTTTTCATAGTNGGCGCATTGCCGAGCCGCGAGCGAGGCGCCCCGCAGGCAGCCGCCCGGCAGCCCCGCCCTGGACTCCCTCCCTCCATCCCTCGACGCAACGACGCACGAGCGGGAGCTGCAGACGCCCACGTCCCCGGCGGCCGGCGACCACAGTCCTAAGCTAAGGTATGAGTTACCTCGATGCATCCGTTCCCTCGATCTGAACTTCTCAAAGCTGCTATGCTATTTTTTCTGTCCATTTATTCAGTCTTCTCATTTGTTAGGGTTTGAACAATGTCGACTCCTCCTGATACTAGTGGATCTCAAGCTGTTACTATATCTCAATCTGTGGGTTCTCGTCCTCCAACTCGTCCACGTCTTGCATCTGGTTCGGCAACACCGCCATCGAGTACAGCAGCACCTGTGACTGGATCAGGTAACATTGATGTGATACAGGTAGAAGATGATGCCCCTGTTGGCTGTAAGAGGAAGCTAAGATCTGTAGTATGGGTAGACTATGATTTGACTCAAGTAAATGGGGTTTGGAAAGCTATTTGCAAATGGTGTAAAAAACATTTAGCTGGGGAGACTAGAAATGGTACAACTCACTTGAAGAATCACAGTGCTATATGTGACTCTAGAGCTTGTAGAAAAGGTTTAACCCAGTCTACTATTAAATTAAATGCAAACTCAAAGGATGGCACTGCCACATTGGAGAAGTATGTGTTTGATCCAGATGTTGCTAAGAAAGAACTTGCTTTGATGATTATTGTCCATGAGTATCCTCTTTCTATGGTAGACCATGAAGGATTTAGAAGGTTTTGTGCTGCATTGCAGCCAGCGTTCAAGTTGGTGTCTAGAAACACAATTAGAAAGGATATCTTTGACATGTATCAAGTGCAAAAGCAATGTATGGTGAACTATATCAAGAAATTGAGTTCTCGTGTTGCTGTTACTACGGACTTGTGGACAGCAAACCACCAGAGGAAGGGTTACATGGCAGTTACAGCCCATTTTCTTGATGATGATTGGAAGCTAAAAAGTTTTCTTATTAGGTAATAATAAAATCTCATCATTTTGTGTTTTTATGTTATGCATTGTCTATCGAGAGCAATCTGTCCAGCACAATCACTTATCATATTTTATTGTTGTAGGTTCATTTATGTTCCAGCACCACATACAGCTGAGGTTGTAGCAGAGGTCCTTCATGAAGTTCTCTTGGATTGGCATATTGAGAGGAATCTTTCCACTATAACACTTGACAACTGTAGTGTCAATGATAATGTCATGAAGACTATGATTGGCACTGAAGGTGATGATCTTGCAAAGAATAAGGCTGCTATTGAAGGCAAGTTACCCCTCTGTTCTTGTATGTTGAAGGGGAAATTAATGCATATGCGTTGTGTTGCACATATTTTAAATTTGATTGTGAAAGATGGAATGAGTGTTATGGAGAAGGGAATTGATAAAGTGCGTGATAGTGTTGCATATTGGTCTGCCACTCCTAAAAGACATGAGAGGTTTGAGAAAATGGCTAGGCAAATGCTAGGGGAATATGAAAAAAGAATTGCTCTTGATTGTAAAACTAGATGGAACTCTACTTACACTATGCTTAGCACTGCACTACTTTACCAAGATGTCTTTGAGCACCTTGCTTCTCGTGCTCCATGTGTTCCATCTGCTGAAGATTGGAAGTTTGCTAGAGAGCTTTGTGATAGGTTGAAGATGTTTTATGATGTAACTGAGCTACTCTCTGGCACTAAATATGTCACAGCCAACCTTTTCTTTCCCAAAATATGCAACATTTTTTTGGCAATTAGGAGGTGGCAAAGCAATGATAATCCTAAGATAGAAGAAATGTCTAGAAAAATGAAAGAGAAATTCAACAAGTATTGGTCAGATGTGCATGGTTTGATGGCTGTTGCTGCTGTCCTGGATCCTAGGTATAAGTTGCAGCTATTGAATGCTTTGTTTCTCAAAATTCATGGGTCAGTTAGTGTAGCTGATGAATCTGTCAACAAGGTGAAAGAGTTGTTGTGCAATCTGGTTTTGGAATACCAACATACTGTTGAGGTTGTTGCCACAACAGATGGTGCTCAAACTAGGCCAAGAGCTCCTCCTCAGGTGGATGATGAAGATTGGATGGACACTTTTGATGATTATATATCCAAACAGCCCGCTGTGACCTTCACTTACGTCCGAACAGAGTTGGATTTGTACTTGGAAGAGCCATTGCTGCCTAGGACATAAGATTTGGATATTGTTCAGTGGTGGCAAATTGCAGGGTTGAAATACCCAACATTACGAAAAATTGCACGTGATGTTCTTGCTATTCCTGTGACGACGGTGGCATCCGAGTCGGCCTTTAGCACTAGTGGGAGAATAATCAGTCCACATCGTAGTAGGCTTGCACCATCAATGATTGAAGCACTTATGTGTATGCAAGCATGGTCTCATAACGACATGTTAGGTAAGTGCAATTTCTGTAAGTAGTGGCTTTATTGTATACAAGTTGTAAAACTAATTTGTGACTGTGACAACTATATATATGCAGGGTCTCATTCAACTTTTGTTGGTGCTTTGATGACTTGTCTTGATGAAAAAGAAGAAATGGTAGTGCTGTTGTTTCCTTGTGAATTTACATTAAAATTAAACATTCAAGTGCTGAGCTACTCTCTATTTTTATATTGCAGGATGAAGATGCTTCCACCATAATTGATGAATGATCCTCCAAAGGGGCGGCGCCGGCGCTTAGGCAGTACTTTTGGACAGTGTGTGGCTCAAGTGAAGATGAATGCCTCAAGTGTCTAGTGGTGTTTTTTTTTTTAAATAATTATGGACAGTATGTGTGTATGTGTGTGTGCCTGAAGGCCTTGAACTTCTATTTCTATGTTTCTGGAGTCTGGACATGGGCTGGGCACATGGCTTGGCTTAGCTATGTACTCTACTACCTTTATGGCTTGTACTGTACGTTGGTACGTTGTTGTTTTTGGTGTTTTATTATAATATTTTTGGTTTTTTGGGTATCCGTTTGGTTTTTGGGTATCCGCGTGTTTTGGTTTTGGTGAAAGGATTTTCACCCGAAACAGTTTTGGTTTTGGTTTTGGTTTTTAAGTTTGGGTTTTGGTTTTGGGTGCCCTGAGGTTCCATCCGATCCGAACTCGAACCGCTGCCATCCTTAGATGAAACCATGTGTGGTGTGGTGAGATAATAAAGTCATAATTCATTAATAGCTATATATTTTGGTTGGCACTAAACATTAAATTAAACAGCACAACATGGGATTCAGCATATGGCATTAAATAGCCGGATCTGCCGTTGAAGTAAACTGTTGCATTACACTGTTTACCCAAAATATACGTTAATTTGAATTCAATTAACCACACCATATTTTTTCCCTTGTTTTCTTCAAAAAAAAAATAAAAATTAGCACTTCTAAATCCAGCAAATTACCTACACAACAACGACATACCATTTGCATACACCTCTGTTCAAACCTTCAAATTTAAATAAAAGTCCAAAAAACAAAAAAATAACAGTTAATTTTTTTCTGGAGATCAATTGCTTCTCGTTTTCAGGAATTAATATGAACTCAACTGTCATATTCATCCATTGCCACACTACACGTGCTAAACCACCNAATAAGTAATAACAATATTAATTGTCAATCTTAAAGCTAATCCTAATTTCTACACAATTTTTTCTTTTCTCGTTAGCAATTGATCAAACACCTGAAGAAGACGAGGAAGAAGAAGAAGCATTTACGTTTTTGTGGGGCACAACAATCTCATCTTCATTCTCGTTCTCCATTGCCGACAAACAATTAGAAGGGCTGTTAGACGAGTAAGTAGATGACGAAAACGACAACGGCGAGGTGAATGAGCCCTGAGTCGCCGTCGAGGAGGACGAGCACCGCTCATCCACGGCGGAGCTCGACGATTCATCGCCGCCGCCGATATGAATCAGCAGATCCACAAAGGCGTCGACAATGAATTCGTGATTAGACCTCGAATTGACCCTCAGATAACAAGCCAGGAGATCCTCCAGAGAATCCCAGTCCCTCAGCCCCTGCGCCTCGACCATCTCCGCCATCGACGCCCTGAAATCGCTCACCGGATCTCGGGAATCCACCGCCACCAGCGCCGCGTGAGCGGTGCAACCGCCGCCGCCGCCGCCGGATTTGGATCCGCCGAGGATGGAGCTCGTCTCGCCGGGATCGAAGAACAGCCGGTCGGACCTCAGGCCTCCGAACACTGCCGACTCGTCGATCTCCGGCAGTTTCTCTACGGCGGCGTCAGGGGAGCCGGGGAGGCTCTCCCCGCGGCGGATGCTGAAGTACGAGTCGGCGGTCTCCGAAAGAGTCGACGCCGACGTGTTCCGGTCGTCGAGGAAGGCCGAGTTCATGGTCTTGAGGACGTCGCCGGCGGCGGGGCTCGTGCGGAAGGAGAGGGTTTTGGGGTCGTTAGTGCAGGCCGGCCACGGCCACGCGGCGGCGGTGCTCGGCGATTTGAACAGAAATGGGAATTTCATTTTTCTGCCCAATTTTTGTTAGTGTTTTGGGAAATAAAGAATGTGACGGAAATATAATGTAATAATAATATTGTTATTATTGTCTTTTTTTTTTGTTTGAAGTGAAAAATTGTTGATTTTGGGGTTTTGGGGCATTAAAGGGCGTGTGGGAAGAGGAGTTTGTATAATGAATTGCAGATTTTAAAGGGGGTGGTGAGTGAATGGTGGTGGGACTTGGGAGCCAAATAATTGTA